GGTTCCTAGGCGACGAAACTGCCTCTCCATCCCAGTCAACACAGATTACCTGGAACATTCAAGATACTATTTTAAAACATCTCTTATTTCTAACCCAATGCTGCTAGGAAAATGTAATGTCCACTGCAGTATTGTTTTGTGAAATGTTTCTACACACTGATGGCTCTATAAGTACTAGCCAACAAGGAGTCAATTGGTAGTCCATGTGACCTCACCTGATTTCACCTTTTCTGCATTGTAGAAAGATATGAATGAGAATGAATATCTTGACAATACAAGAGATGTGTTTCACTGGTTTCGAATATATCTTCCTCAGAAGTACATGTATACATTTATTTGAAACCAGTCATATACATCTCTTGTATTGTGAAGATAATCATTCTCAATCATACCTTTCTACATTTGTCAACTTTAATACGATTCTTCACTTTTTCTTGTGTTTTGGGGATTATTATTTTTGAAGTTTATTTTGTCTCTATTTTTTTTCCCTCGTATTTTTGGGATCATTATCTGGGGGAGGGGGGGGTAAATGCTATCAATATCGGAGCTGTTGACTTTATCATAAAATAGTAAATATCATAATGTTATTGACATTAGTAATAGCAATATAAGATCAAAGAAAATATTTTCAAAATCAAGGAAAATGGTAAACAGGTGATATTGCTAGCACTAGTAATTGGTTCATTGGTGACCATGTGCAAAGACAATAAAAAAAAATCACACTGGGCATGGTATATCATTTCAGTGGTAACAGGTTAAAATTACTAGAGAACTATAATGATTTTATTAAGAAAATCAAATACAAAAATTTTCAAGTAAACAAATTGTAAATGCATTTTGATAATTGCTAATTTCATTTTGTCTAAAATATGCTCAAGAGATTCCCCTAAAGACCCAAATAATTTAATGCCATCAAATCTATGATATACCTTACATGAATCTCATGAATAAAGCGCTTCTTTTTGTTCAACATCACCTAGTAAATGACTTTTCAATTCACACTCTAAATTCCTCTCCTCTTTCTAACATTCATTTTTTGTGTCCTTATCTAATCTAAATTGGTTACCTTACTTACACTGACATCTTCCCAGAATTTCTCCCAAACTCTACACAGTGAAAGACATTCAAAATTCACAATGGCTTACCTTGCTCAAGTCTCGATTCAAGCAATTTAGATCCTTTATATGTTTGCCATCAACATATCGAGTCGAATCCTTGAACAGTCGGTACCAAATGTAGCCATTTGGGTCTAAGTGGTCAATCAAGGGGAATGCAGTCTGATGTCCAAAATAAAATTAGACAGAATTAGTATAAGCAATTATCTATCTATCTATCAATCTATATATAAATATATATATATTTATATATACATAATATATATATATATATATATATATATATATATATATATATATATATATTTTTTTTTTTTTTTTTTTTTTTTTTATCTATCTATATATTTATATATATCATATATCTATATATCTATATATATATACCATATATCTATATATCGCATATATCATATATATATAAATATATATGTATATATATATATATATATATATATGTATATATATATATATAATATATATATATATATATATATATATATATATAATATATATATATATTTAAATATATATATTTTTCTATATATGTTTACACACACACACACACACACACATATATATATATTTATTTATATAATGAATAGGAATATTATGTAACTCATATTATTCCCTTCTTGTCTCTCAGATAAATCAGCACTACATAAAATCAAAAAGAAAAAGATTCTTCATAATGGGAACAAAAATTAACATATAATGGTTCCCACTTACCCCTCCCCAAAATAATACCAATTAAATAGTTAAACTTACAAAGCCTTGTTCATTAGTGTAGATGACAATCTCAAACAGCGGGGGAGCACAATGGTGGAGCAGGAAATCAACACCAGGACGCTTCTTGAACCTCCAACCTGTTTCATACTGCAAGATAAACACAGGTAATTAAAATTCATATGCATGTACACATATGTATCTCTCTAAAAAAATAAATAAATAAATAAATAAATCAGTACTACATAATCAACATACCCAACCAGAATTACAGCCTCCTTACTTTTGGGGCCATTACAGTAATTTCTTTAAGTGTAATCAAGTCCAGTCAAAGCACATCAAATTATGAAAAATTTGAACACACTGAACAGTCTATAAAATATTTCCTGAGAAACACTATAAAAAAATAGAAAGGTTGTGCCTAAAAGAAAGAAAAAAGAAAATACAAAATAAATCAGGACAAACAAAAAGTGATAAAAATAAAGTACAAACATATGAAACAGGAAGAAAGAACCTACATCTGTCAACTCAACCACTTTGTCCACTAACCGTCCATTCTGGGTGCACCAAAATGTCCCGTAACTCCAACACCAGGGTGTATGGAGGCTGTATGTATGGTTCCTTCAAAGGTTCTGGTAGTAACCTTTCACGTGAAGGTTCCT